ACGAACCTGAAGTGGGCGGCCGCTACGGTGGCAGCGTACAAGGCCGAGGCCGAGGCCAAGGAATCACAGAGGAGTCACAGAATCGCGCCGCACCACGAAAAGAAAGTCCTAGAAGAGAAATTGGATAGCCGTGAGAACAATACCAAACAGAAGCGGGACATACTAGACGATACAGACGACGATGCGTTGGACGATACAGACGATTATACGTTGGATCTTCTGTTGAACTGGCAAGCGAATTTGAAGCGCAAACGGTCGACTGATAGAGAGAATCACCACCACAGTTTCAAAAAGTCGTTCGTCAAGAGGCAAGAATCGTACAGAGGAAGCAGCAGTTTTCGGGAGACGTTGAAGGACAGCAGCGACGAGGAACAAAATACGTTAGTCGCAATATGTATCTCGTAGTGACACACCAGTGAGGTCACCTAAATATCTGTTTCGAATTGTGACAATGGGAAAAATATTTTTCGTCTAACGTGAATGATATAGAAAGGTCCAATAACTGGTAAGAATATCTCTTTTCCAAGGTCATGGATGTTTTTTTCTTTTTGTATACAACTATACTATTACAATTTATACAACTTGTTTCATACAACTATACATATAAATATTTTGTGTTTCTATTTAGCAGTAACTATTTTGTATCTCATACAACTATACATATAACTATTCTTTATTTCTATTTAGCAATACATATAATTATTAACAATATATACATGTATTTGATAACACAAGTAACTATTTTATACATACAACTATACATCTAACTATTTTTTATTTCTATTTAGCAATACATACAACTGTTAACAATACATACATGTATTTAATAATACATGCAACTATTTCAAATATTGAGTATTTCTTTGTGAATTAATTGACATGATTTCAAGCTTCTAGAGAAAATTATCATTGACGATGTAATAGTAAACATGTTTATTCATATTTATTATTAGATTCTCGATATTGGCGTCTTGGCAAAGGTCCCTGATCTCGATAGAAAGAATTTCTAGGAAAATTTAAATTTTCAAGAACATATTTTTTACATATCTGAACGTATCTTTTCACCAACTACACAATGTAATAACAGGAAAAAGAGAGAGAGAAAAAACATCAATGACTTTAAAAAAAAGAAAATGACTTTGGAAAAACAAATATCCTTATCAGTTACATTGGTTTTTTGATACCGTTTCATCTGTTTGCATCATCGCAATTCAGAAAGATATTTAGGTGGCCTCACTGTAACAAAAATGAATAGGAATTTGATATTATGTTATTAAAATTTTCCGGGTTAGATATAATAGTTATTATATTAATAATATATTAGATATAGTAGTTATTATATATTAGGTATTAGATATAATAGTTATTATATTAATAATATAGGTTAGGTTATATTATCATATTAATAATATATTATAATATAGGTGTTAAATCTAATTCAATTAGTGTACATATGGCGAAACGAAACGAGCCGAATACAAGAGGAAGCTCAAGTAATGACTCAAACACTTCCGTTTCTTTGTTCATCACAGGTCCATTGTAGTCTCTGGCAGACATCCTCCGAAGAAGTACAATACCCACACGTCTTTAAACACCACCGAGACGTCTGCCTTAGAGCGTGATGACAAGTTCAGTGTAGAAGCGCACACAATCACGTACAACCGCACTCGCAAGGTTGCTCACAAACTTCGGAAAAACATGAACTCTCGAGGAGTGGTCGCCGTTCATTATCACGGGGATGGAGGTGAGATCTCGTCGCGAGATCAGAACGCTGGAAACGGGAAAATTCGTCATGGGAGCAGTACGTTCAAAGCTTGGAAACCGAGCGACTGGGTAACTGATTCCGGCATGAGCAAGCACTTCAGTATGTCCGACGGGGCTCTCACCATTTACGAGACAGGATTGTATTTAATTTACGCGCAGATTCATTACAACGACGATCACGACGAGATTGGATTTCACTTGGTAGTGAACGATCAGCCTGTTCTTCAGTGTATGGTAAGAAAAAAAAAAAAGGAAACAAAGAATAGTTACTGTTACTCTCAATATCTGTACAGTGTCGCGACGAGAGATAGTATAATAATTGTGATTATCTTTTTTTTTTTTAGATCGACAATTCAGGCCATTCACGCAATATCAGCCAGACCTGTTTCTCGGCGCAACTGGCGCATCTCAGGAAACACGACGTTCTAATATTCAAGGAGGCCAGCTCGCCGAGATTCGTCATTTTCGACCAAAAGAATAGTTTCTTCGGGCTGGTGAAACTTGGAGAACTGAAGAAGCTGTAGCGTAATTGGTTATTTAAATATACGTAGCCATCGATAACTATAATCACAGCTATAGACTGCGGATTTTTGTGCAAACTCGTGTTTTTGAGAATATAATTAAAAACAAAACGGTAAAAAAAAATGATAGAAAATTGCGTTACGTACCAAAATATTGTCGAATATATTTTGGATATTTTATTATTAATATTGTCTTCGTATTATTATTTTTTTTCTTAATATTTTTTTTGCACTTCGAAATGCATGAAACTCCGCAGTCTAACGATCAAACCTTGACACGAGTGAACCTCTTAACGAGCGAGGCATTTGTCCTCCAATGAAAAGTAATTTATCGCTGCGATGATAGACGTTCATTAAAGATTAATCGATCCGTTTCCAATCGTGGATGCATACACCACCGCTGTAAATAAGATCTTTGCGTTTTACATTACTAATAAGCACTTTAAAAAATTTTCTACAGAGTCCAAAGATAGCGAGAGCGCGTACGAGAGTGAAGTTAAATTAAGATCTCGTGTATCCAAAAAAGAAAAAAAAAAATAAACCTTGCAATAGTTCAGTTGCAATCAACGAATTGTTTAACACACAGTGTCGCAAACTAGTCTTTTCTCGCAGTACAGCCTGGCTCGGTGGCTGCCAATTGGAATCAAATCTCCAGGAGAGTCCATCAGGTCGACGATGAAATTCGGTTTCAACAGCTTCGTTGGAAATATCGACGAACTGCGAGCTAAACTATCCCTGAGGGCGAAGCTTGAATCTTGGCGAGAATATTGTTTCAGGGAAATAGTTTCTGGACAAGTCGTATCTCTCTCCATATAGTGATGAAAGGTGTCCTCTTCAATAGGGACTCTCACCTGGTAAAAATGTTCCAAGCTAGGAAATCAACCAACGATCAAAATGAAAGAGAACCCAAGATTCTCCATGCCTCCGGCACCGCAATTTCGATCCAAGCTTTCCCGTACTGTCCCCGCACCAACGCAGCTGGCAAGTGCACCCTGTCCGCGATTACTTTGAAGAGCAGGGCTCTCTCAAAGTAAGAACCGACTTTCAACATCCCTAGCGGTATCACGCTGGTCTCTATGCTCCTCTTGATCTCCTTCAGATGAATTTCTAGCTGATGATCCATGCATCTGATCAAAGGATCAGGGCCCGACATCTGTCGCGCCACAAATTTGGCCAGCATCCTGGCGCGCGAGGCCACGTAGCCGACGTCCACGAATCCTCGCGTCGTCCTCGACACTCTGCGTTGGAAGGCGCGAAGGTTTTGTAGGAGTCTGCGCGACGAGAGACTCGCGTGCGAGGCTTTCTTACACGTTCTTCGACTCGGCCGCGATCAACTTGCATTTGAACAGCTGCACGTAATCGTAGAGGGAGGAGTCGCACTGGAGGCCGAACTTGGAGTCCATCGTCAATTGTAATATTTCTCTGGACAAGAAAACGCCTCTGTCGTTGATCGCGTGGCTCGCTTGCTTGGGCCCTGAGGGGAAGGGGGAAAAAAAGTAACTCTACACTTGACAAAAAATGAGGAAAAAATGGGCAACACCCGTGGACGCTCAAGTGGAGTGGTGTATTCTGCCAATTGTGTCGAAATATCGGTTTCACTCGCTTTGTGCAAGTGTCATGTTTCATTGGTGCAAGTGTCATGTTTCATGCAACCTTCGGCACCTCGCATGGTAAAGTAGCGTTGAGCAGAGTGAGATAGCCCTAATTCTAAGAATTGGTGGCGATAGCGACGAACGTTTAATAAGTGGGCATTACTGTATTACCTTCCAAGCTCAGTTCGTACGGATTTTCCTGAATGCAGTTAACCACGTAAATCGGCTCCAGGGGGCAGAACTTGAAACGGAAGACATCGTCCAATATAGGAAAGCTAATTACAATAAATAAGAAGGTATATAGAGTGAAGCGAGGGAATGTGAGATATAGGAAATACCTGCAGATGTTTCTTCGCAGCACGTAAAATCCATCTCGAGTGATGTCGTGCAGGGAAAGTCGCCCGGTGAAGGCGAATTTAATTGGCAGATGCGCGTCGAACAGAGCTTCTATACACGTGTCCCACGAAGGAACGACGTGAGCGGTCGATCGGTTATTCAGCATACTACAATTATCGTTTTTTACAAGTAGCACGCGTGACGAAATTGTGCGTGTACTCCTACTTTTTTTTTTTTTTTGGCTTACTAATTTAAATATCTGGCTGAGACGAAAGTCTCCGCCAAAACCGGATCCGAGCATAACAGTTGAATTAGTTGGACAGCTGCGTTCCTTATTGGAATCGAGTTGACGTCGCACAATAGGTTATACAGCCTCCTCGGGCCCTGAGCTTTCAGAAATTCCTCCCTTCCGATTTTCTCCGTGCACACGATCGACAGAGCTTTGCAGCAGGCGATTTTCAAATCATTCATCGATATACAGCTCAACTATCGATTGAACAAATATTGTATAAATGTTACGTTTAATATACAGGGTGGCCCATTTAAGTTTGAACATCTTTTATCAAATTGCAAAAACATGAATGATATCAAAAGGCCAATGTAACTGATAAGAATACCTTTTTTTATTAGTTTTCAAGATTATTGATATTTTTTTTTTCATACTATGTATTTTTCTTGTTGCATCGTATAGCTGGTAAGAAAATACATGTTCAGATATGTATGAAACATGATCTTAAAGTGACATTGATGTCTAAAAATTTAAATTTTTGCAGATCATTCTTTCAAAGAAAAAAACTTAAATTTTTATAAAAATTTAGATGTATCAACGTATAAAAATTTTATATGTATATGAATATTTAAATATTTAAACCAAACATGTATGTACTTCGAAAGACGCACACATGGCGTCGATGATTTCCGCTGTGATCACGTTATGTTTCAAGGCCTGATTTCTCGCTAGTGTAATGACGCATTCCACAGCACCAACCAGAATTTCGACAGGCATTTTCCCGGCTGGTTGCCTCATCAGCCATAACAAATAGTTCTGAGAATAACGGCACATAAAATATTCTTTGCTCAGAACGTAAGTAGCTCGTGTTCACTTGAACGGAACAGAGTTTACCTGCCCGTGAATGTCCAAAAATTCCTGGCAATTCTTCGTGTCGCATTTTAATAGTTGGTTTAATGCGAACAGAGCTGCCAGTCTAGCGGACAGTTTCAAATTTTCATTCTTCAGTATATCTGAAACATGTGTCGTGAATGGTTGTATCGTGGTTTCAAGAAAAATCGATTCCTTCGATCTACCTAGAATGTTCTTCACACATTTGCTCGCGGTTAGATCCTTAGCCGCTTCGTTATAAAGAGTCATCATGCCGATACCGTGGCAACTGATTTCATACATGTCAGCTTGCACGTTGCCCATTAACGTGCGCAGCAAATAATCCACGATGCCATAAGTGTACAAACCCTTTTCAGGAAACGGATTCCAGCAAAAGATCAAATGATATTAGATGACGAGATGCGAGATATTTCAAAAAAATCTGCAGTCAATTAGTGCTAAACTAATTGTAAGTGGACTCTCAAAGAGCAATGTTTCTTAATCTTTTGATTTTTACTGATCCTCTCTGAACAATCTTTTGCTGTATTGAATCCCCAAAATATGCTTTCTCACAATTAAATGTATTTAAAAAATGATTAATTATATTAATAAAATTG